CGTCAAGCCAACTTTATGGCAGTGGGCCGCGATTCCAAACCTTTGATGCAACTGTTTTACGATCAACTTAATGCTTTTGGGAGTGTTTTCTCTGTAATTACAAAATGAACACAAGCCTTAGAAACCTCTACCAAGTGTGTCTAGAGGCGTCATCAAACTAGACTTAATGACGAAACTGTCAGTAGGTGAATTCAGTCGCTATAAAATAATTCGACATAACGTGAATCTGTGAAAATATCTTGCAACTCTACAGTTGATCACACAAACTCCGATCTCTATCGTTAGTTTGATCTGACCTTCTGCGTGAGCTCTCAACCAATGATTCACCGGAGCTCCGCAAGGACCGCCTCCCTCATTTGCACACGGAAAAGTAAGAAGAAATAAATGAATAAATAAATCTGGAAATAAATACACGTGGGAATAAAAAATAATAAATACATACATAAATAAATTTAATTAAAATAAATGCAAAAATAAATACATAAAATAATATAATACATAAAGGAAAAAGTAATAAAAAAATTAATTCAGGGTTAAATTTTATTACAAATTAACTATATTTGTTTTTATCAAGTCATTTATTCCTTTATTTATTTTCCTGTCATTTTATTTATTTATTTATCTATATATTTATTCGTTTTTAATTTCTGCAGGTTTGGTCCTCCATAGCTGAGATGCACTCATGCATTTGAGAACAGACTGCTGATTTCAATTAGGAGTGCAGCGCTGAATGCGGCAAAACGGGCGGGACAAACTCTTGGCGGGAACTGACGTTATTGTAGTTCTGCCAGTAGCCTGAGCGACCTGTCACGGCTATCAGTTATCTCAGGTCTGAGGAACATCACATGATTGTGCTTGTCTGTGGATCAGGGTATGATGTTACGGGGGCAGTTCTGAGGTCGTCCAACAGGTGGCAGTAGGTGCTTAAAACACAAAGATAAAGCAGACATGAGATTGTCTTCTTGATGGATGAATGAATATTGAAGCAGCTCTCTGAAGCTGGAGAGGGAGGATGGGTTGATGGGAAATAAGTGCCGTCTCTTTGCAAAGGTCAGCAGTGCAGAGCGAACAATTAAAGACTCATTTAGACACTCTTTCCCAGATCACCAGTGTGTTTCTGAGTCCCTGATAATGGGGAGAAAAACACAGACTGCAAAATACAATTGTTTTCCCAATTATGTGAGGTGCTAAATCTCATATTTATTTTGTTTTATTTATTTATTTATAATAATTTTTTATTATGATTTTTGTTATTTTTATATTACTAAAGTCATCTTTATTGAATGCTTATATTTTTGTCCATGAGACCTGGTCTTGTTGATAATTGTTTCCTTCTTTTTGGGTTAAATATCTAACATATTTATACTGTAAAAATAATAATAAAAAAACATAAACAGTAAATAAATGCTATACAGAAATGTTTTTTTAAAAAGCAAAAACATGCTTGACTTTGTACAACCGAATCCTTATGGTAGCAATTAGAAAGATAAACGTTGCATGCAGGAACGCCGCCCTGTGTTTTCACACCGAAAAGCAATGCTTTTTAGTTTTGCATGGGTGTTTTTGTGCATCATAACCTGCTGGTCTTTTAGGGCGAATCATGCACATGTGAAAGAAAGTACTGGCTGATGTGATCACGCTGAGATGCACTCATGCATTTGAGAACAGACTGCTGATTTCAATTAGGAGTGCAGCGCTGAATGCGGCAAAACGGGCGGGACAAACTCTTGGCGGGAACTGACGTTATTGTAGTTCTGCCAGTAGCCTGAGCGACCTGTCACGGCTATCAGTTATCTCAGGTCTGAGGAACATCACATGATTGTGCTTGTCTGTGGATCAGGGTATGATGTTACGGGGGCAGTTCTGAGGTCGTCCAACAGGTGGCAGTAGGTGCTTAAAACACAAAGATAAAGCAGACATGAGATTGTCTTCTTGATGGATGAATGAATATTGAAGCAGCTCTCTGAAGCTGGAGAGGGAGGATGGGTTGATGGGAAATAAGTGCCGTCTCTTTGCAAAGGTCAGCAGTGCAGAGCGAACAATTAAAGACTCATTTAGACACTCTTTCCCAGATCACCAGTGTGTTTCTGAGTCCCTGATAATGGGGAGAAAAACACAGACTGCAAAATACAATTGTTTTCCCAATTATGTGAGGTGCTAAATCTCATATTTATTTTGTTTTATTTATTTATTTATAATAATTTTTTATTATGATTTTTGTTATTTTTATATTACTAAAGTCATCTTTATTGAATGCTTATATTTTTGTCCATGAGACCTGGTCTTGTTGTGGACTTTATCAGAATAATAAAATAATAATAATTCAATAATAATAATAATAAAAGAAAAATAATCATAATAGTTAAAAAATTAAGATGTGACAATTGTTGACTTTATTTTTATCGTGGCTGAAAATGAGAATGTTACATGAGAATTATATAATTGTTGAAAATGAGAATGATATAATTGTTTATATTATACAATTATATTTATAATATATATTGTTTATATTTTCTTTTCTTTTATGTAAAGCACTTTGAATTACCATTGTGTATGAAATGTGCACTCAATTCAGCATGTGTTCGTGTTTGTGTGTGCTGTCTGCGTCACTCATAGCACGAGCCTATATCGTGCACTATATCAAAATTTTTTATATCGAAGAAGGTTTACCGTTGATAAATATCGATACCGTTTTATTGCCCAGGCCTAATAACTATATAAAAAAATATATAAAAAAAAAAATAATATATATATATATATATAAAATAAAATGATATATAAATATATATATATATATATATATATATATATATATATATATATAAAATTCCAGCAGATTATCTCCCAAAATCAGTGCAGAAGATATTATCTAAATATGAATAAAGATTCATTGTAGTTTATGTTGGCATCTCCGTTATGTATCTAATAATTTCCTAGGTTCGTACATGAACTGCAATGCTCCCTAACAATAATGACCTTTGACCCCTCTGTCTCTTTCAAGCAGGGCTTCAGAGGAAGCCGCCTCATGAGGAAGTGTGAACGGTGAAAAGGCGAAAGGTCAGAGGTCAGGATGACGACAGTAGCCGCAGAATACGAGCACATGGACATCCAGCAGCAATACCAGGACAGTGTCAACAACCGCTGGGAGGACGAATGGGACAATGAGAACAGCTCGGCCCGATTATTCGAGCGCTCGCGCATCAAGGCTCTGGCAGGTGAGTCGAAATCACAAAGTCCATCTGTGATGATGTTAGTTGATATATCAGGTTTTAATAGACAAGCGTGACCTTCTTTTGGAGCTTGAAAGCTGTAGTTATAAACAAAGAGAGGTAATTATTATCAGCAGAAGTGTTTTTGTTCCTTGCTGTCTTCAACTATTCAGCGTTTTTGGCTTTGAATAGCTGTAACTAGTGCTTGATAATGTGCTGCCCACTCGCACATGACATGCAGTGATTTCGTGTGTGGGAGAGTAGAAAGAAAGTGGGCGTAAGTTCACACTTTCTCTGCTCCTTCTGAAGCTTCCACACCATTTCTGATTACGAGCGAAACCCTCGAGCCCACAGACCAACTCAGGAGGCTCTTGTGCCTCGTACAGGAAACTGAACACGTTACATAAAATCAATATGGAGATGGACGATCTTTTATTCATGAGTTGAATTTTTTTATGCATATCCTATAGATGCTGATGTAGGAAGGGTTTCCTAAATGAACAACATACCTGTGATGAACTAAAAGCACCTTTTGTAGGGTGTTTGCACACTAGAGAAACTTCTAATGGAGCATTTGATGAAACATATTTAGCATATGATGCATTTTAAGGGTTTGTTTTTGAGGCATTTCAACTGGACCCAAATGACTGAAATTCTATTGTTTTATTTAATTTAATTTAATTTAATTTAATTTTTTGTACACTTCCCTGTTTTTATTGTGAACTTTTATCAGAGGATGTAATTCCAAAATAAAAAATATATAAAAAAGATTAAATAAATATAGTCTTAATAATCTTTCATTTGCTTTGTAATTTTTAAAATGTGATAATTGTTTCCTCTTTTCTGGTTAAAGTAAAATAAAATAAATAAATAAATAAATTTAAATTTTGGTTGGTAAAAGACTTTTTGAAAAGTCTCTTCTACTCACCAAGTTTCCATTTATTTGATCAAAAATACAGTAAAATTAGTAATATTGTGAAATATTATTAGTGTTTAAAATAACTGTTTTCTATGTGATTATATAGTAAAATGTAATTTATTTCTGTGATAAAAGCTGAATTTTCAGCATCATTACTCCAGTCTTCACAGTGTCACATGATCTTCAGAAATTATTCTAATATGCTGATTTGCTGCTCAAGAAACATTGCTATTTTTGAGGAAACATGATTCTTTGATTAATAGAAAGTTGAAAAGAAGAGCATTTATTTGAAATAGAAATCTTTTGTAACATTATGCATGTCTTTACTCTCACTTTTGATCAATTTAATGTGTCCTTTCTTATTTAAAAGTATTAATTTCTTTAATTTTGACTTCCTCAGGAGGGGTTCGGGCTTTAATTAGGACATTTAGACCACCACCACCTCTCCATAATTCTCACCGTGGGGTTTTGCTGTATTTCTTTCTTCATATGATTTATTCCCGTAATATCTTGGATGACAGTAGCATATTTCCCTCTTCTGTTTTCCATCATGTTTCCAAGCATCATGCGTTTGAGTTGCTGTGTTTACAGAGGTGTGATGTTGTTTATGAGCGTTTGCTGCTGCCGAGAGCCTGACTGTTATTCTCTCGGGGTGGCAGAGTTTAAACAGACTGGCTTTAATGAACGACCAGGCCCGTCCACTCTCTGCGAGACTCACCCCGATACTTCAGGACTGAGGACGATGGAACATAAAACAGAAATATAAAATATTTTCCTCTCTCTCTTGTTGCCAAAAACCACAAACCGTTCCTGGAGTTGTAAAAAACCCCCTGCATTCCAGTAATCATCCTTCGTTTCACGTGATTGTGTTTTCCTGCATTCCTGGGCAGCAGAGCATACGCCGCCTTCGCTCTCTCATGGAAGCAGGAATAATGCTCAAGAAAGAGACACAAAACAAGTGTATGGTGACGTGTGGATTATTCAAATAAAATTCTGTCCCTGTTTAATATGCAGAGATACTATAACTAAAATAGGCTGATTTCCTGAAGAGTGTAACACTTTGACTCTGTGTCGATTTCAAAACATTAATCTAATAGATTGAACAAGCCTGACGCAGGCAACATTAGCTCAGCCAATGGCATGAGTTTGGGGGCGGGACTATCTGCTTGTCCAGCCAATAGCAGTGAATTCCATTTATTGACACTAGTGTTGCACCAGGTCATTTTAGTATTATTTATATACTATTATAGTTTTTTTAATATATTTTGAATTAGGTTATATTTTTTATATTTTCAGTTTTTATTTTAATTCTAGTTAATTTTAGTAAATTAAATTTTACTTTTTGCTTTTTCAATTATTTTTAGATTTAATTTATTGAATTACATTTTATTTTATATTTAGTGTTAATTATATTTGAGTTTTAGTTTTTATTTTCATTTACTAATTTTAGTGCTTCAACTTTCTATTTCTGTTCAACTTTCTATTTATTTGTTTATACAATGGGGTAAACTGCTGCTGGCTTGATGACGCAAACGAACCGCGGTTCGGACACAAATAATATAATGTGAACACAGTCCAGCGGGGGGAGGGGGGAGCAATCGAACTCGGGTTCGGACCAAGCAATCGAACCAAGTGTGAAAGCACCCTTAGTTAAAAACGGAAACTGAAAATAAAGTTTTGGTAATTAAATTTGGGCAACTGGGTAAGTCTTTATGCTGTTTAGCATGTTTTATTCTTATGTGATTAATTAAATTTGGCGAAGTAAAGTTGTTCGGAAAGGAGCCGCTTCTCAATATTTCAGCCAAACAAATTTAAATTTTTGGAAATGGTGAGGTGCGTCCACACTGCTGACATGTTTACCTGTCATAGCTTATCTGTGTAAACAGACATTGACTTAATCAAAACCTGTTATCAAAGAAGTGCTAATTAAATGTCACTGTTTTGGTCAATGATTTTGGTCTTTCGTTTTGCTGTTTTGGTCCATTATTTTCTGTTGCTGCAATTTCAGTGCATCATTTATTGCCACTAGAGACAGAAATTACACACTACACTAATTTGAGATAAAGAGTTTCAGGAGGAAGTATTTAGATGCGGTTGATTTTCTAAAATAGTTTGGCAAGAATTATTTTGCACAAATTTTTATTGTGATTTTTATTTTGCTTTTGACTTGGCCCAGTACCCACTGCAGCATTATTTTCATTGGTTAGCAAAACTCATATTTTCCTCAGAAGGTGTAAAAATCTATATTTACATATTAATCGAATAGAACCAGAGTTCTGTTTGCTGTCGCGATGCTCTTTGCTGTCTCATCAGACTGTCATTGGCTCAGATGGGAAGTCAAAGATATCACACCGGCATGGTTCACTCCCAGAGATCTGATAAGTCAGGAATCCCCCCGGCAGCAGTCGGCATACCACACTAATGTGGACCATGTGCTGGAGCATGAGAGGGGCCCGCAGCGACAGCCCACTGTCCAGGGGTGCCAGATTGAGGCTAAACCACCCGTTTAATTGTGTTAGGAGAAGAGCCATAGTCTCTTTACTCCAAACACGAGCATGTGTGGGAATTATCGTGGATTGATTCTGACACTTTGTTTTATTCGGTTGCTTTTTGTAAAGGTTTTTGTCAACTCAATGACCTCTGTAGACATTTGCTATAGTCATAAGCAGATAGATAGATAGATATTTAGACGGACGGACGGACGGACAGACAGATGGATAGATGGATAGACAAATGGGTAAGTAGTTGTGTAGATGGATAGTTGGGTAGATACGTAGATAGTTTGGCAGATGAATAGTTGGGTAGATAGATAGTTAGGTAAATAGTTGGATCGATATTCGGGTAGATAGATAGATGGTGGGTAGTTGGGCAGATGGATAGTCAGGTAGATAGATAGTTGGATAGATAGGTAGATATTTCGTAGGTAGATAGATGGATGGTAGATAGGTAGATAGTTTGGTAGATGGATAGTTGGATGGATAGTTGGGTAGATGGAAGATGGGTAGGTAGTTGGGTGGGTAGTTGGACAGATAGAAGGTTGAATAGTTGGGTAGATAGTTTGGTAGATGGATAGTTGGGTAGACAGGTAAATAGTTGGATGGATAGAGGGGTAGATAGTTAGGTGGGTAGTTGGGCAGATGGATAGTTGGGTAGATAAATAGTTGGATAGATAGGTAGATAGTTGTGTAGGTAGGTAGATATTTGTGTAGATATACAGATAGATAGTTTAGTAGATGGGTAGTTGGGTAGATAGCTGGATGGATAGTCGGGTAGATGGATAGTTGAGTAGATAGTTGGGGAGATAGTTGGATGGATAGTCGGATAGATGGATAGATGGGTAGATAGTTGGATGGATAGATGGGTAGATAGTTGGGGAGATAGTTAGATGGCTAGTTGGGGAGATAGTTAGATGGCTAGTTGGGGAGATAGTTGGATGGATAGTCGGGTAGATGGATAGATGGGTAGGTAGTTGGGTGGGTAGTTGGACAGATAAAAGGTTGAATGGATGGATAGTTGGGTAGATAGTTTGGTAAATGGATAGTTGGGTAGACAGGTAAATAGTTGAATGGATAGTTGGGTAGGTAGTTGGGTGGGTAGTTGGACAGATAGAAGGTTGAATGGATGGATAGTTGGGTAGATAGTTTGGTAAATGGATAGTTGGGTAGACAGCAACCCTCTACATTGTGAGTAAATTACTCGCATATGCGACTAAATCTTCACTCAGGGCGACTAAATGACGTCTAATATTAGCCAATTGCTAATAAATTCTCATATTTTACTCGCCAGTGTGTGAGTTGGAGGCTAAGTATAAGTTTAGCTCAGATATATTTTCACTCGCCGAACACTCTCTGACTGAGCGCTTCAGAGTTTCACTCCGTCAACTGATCTGTGATATTTTTCAGTTCATCTGAATTGATGTGCAACGCACCTGTATTTATAGTATCGTAAACTCTAGTGTGAAGCGCACGACTCCCCGTCGCTTTGTTTCCACCTATTATCGTCCCTGTTTTGATTTCAGCAAATCAGTTCGAGCGAACGCACACAACCTGATTAATATTCATGAATCCAGTAGCTCATTAATCCTTGG